TGGACAGACACCATGACAGGGGGTTGGTAGCGGGGACAGAAGATGGGAATGGCATGGGTCCCGGCAGGGGGTCGTGAACCTAGAGTTCAGACCTTAAGTATGGATGAATTGGCCCCAGGTGTGGGGTTAGGACCCTCCTACTCTTGGTTCACTTTTCCAGATCCTGAGCATCTAGGTAAGCTCACCTGAAACTGATCTCAGCCTCCAAGTGACACAGCCACTGCTCAGGAGCCAGGCAGCCTGCAGCATCTCCCTGATCACCCATCTTCCGTCTATTGTATGAAGATGACAATGCCCCCCTCATGGGACAGTCATGGAGATTAATGATGACACATGTACAGTGCATAGCACATCAAGTACTCAATACGTATAAGGTCCTGATAATTTATCATTTTTATTGCTGCCAGGCCAGATCTGACTCCTGCTCTGCAAGTCTTCAAAGGTTCACTTAAATCAACTTGGGTCAGTTCTGAGTGTTTGTATTCCTCTGAATGACAAATGGCTGGACCCAGCCAAAAAACTCTCTAAATCTGGGAGCTGAGAATTCAGCTATTCCACAATGCCTCCTTCGGACAGCGATACGGACTAAATGTTTGTGTGCCTCCAAGCTTAGATGTTAAAACTCTAATCCCCAATGTGATGGCATTTGGAGGTGGGCCTTTAGGAGGTAGTAGGTTCAAAGGAGGTCATGAAGGTAGAACCCTCATGATGAGAGTAGTGCCCTTATAAGTAGAGCTACCAGAGCTTGTGACCCCGCCTCTCATGTAAGTCACCAAACAAAGGCCACATGAGGTCACTGCGAGACGACACAAGCCAGCCAGGAAGAAGACCCACACCAGAACTTGGCCATGCTGGCACTTTCATCTTGGACTTCCAGCTTCCAGAACTGGAAGAAGACAAATTTCTTGTTTGTTTGGGACTTTTTATTATTATTTTTTTAATAATTAAATACTTTTTACCTTTTAGGTTCATGGGTACATGTGCAAGTTTGTTAAATTGTGTTTCATGGGTTTGATTTACAGATTATCTTGTCACCCACATAATAAGCATAGTACCAGACAGGTCGTTTTTCAGTTCTCTCCCTCCCACCATTCTCTACTCTCAAGTAGGCCCCAGTGTCTGTTGTTGTCTTTGTGTCCATGTGTTCTCCATGTTTAGCTCCTGCTTATAAGGGAGAACATGCAATAGAGTTTTCTGTTTCTGCATTAGTTCGCTTAGAATAATGACCTCTAATCCTATCCATGTTGCTTCAAAGAACATGATCTCATTCTTTTTTATGGCTGCATAGCATTCTACAGTGCACATGTGCATTTGCTTTATCCAGTCTACCATTGATGCACATTTAGGTTGATTCCTTGTCTTTGTTTTTGTAAATAATGCTGTGATTAACAAAATCTTGCATGTGACTTTATGATAGAATGGTTTATATTCTTTTGGGTATATACTAACTAATAGGATTGCCGGGTTGAATGGTAATTCTGTTTTAAGTTCTTTGAAAAAAATCACCATACTGCTTTCCACAATGGTTGAACTAATAATTTACATTCCCATCAACAGTACATAAATGTTCCCTTTTCTTCACAACCTTGTCAGCATCTATTTTATTTATTTATTTATTTATTTATTATTTTTTTTTTTTTTGAGACAGAGTCTTGCTCTGTCACCCAGGCTGGTATGCAGAGGCATGATCTTTGCTCACTGCAACTTTTGCCACCCAGATTCAAGTGATTCTCCTGCCTCAGCCTCCCTAGTAGCTAGGATTACAGATGCATGCTAGCATGCGTGGCTGATTTTTATATTTTTAGCAGAGATGGGGTTTCACCATGTTGGGCAGGCTGGTCTCAAATTCCTGACCTCAGGTGATCCACTCACCTCAACTTCTCAAAGTGCTGGGATTACAGGTGTAAGCCACCACCTCTGGCCTGACTTTTTAACAGCCATTTTTACTGGTGTGAGATGGTATCTTATTGTGGTTTTGATTTGTCTTTCTCTAAAGATTAGTGATGTTGAGCATTTTTTCATAGACTTGTTGGCCATACATATGTCTTCTTTTGAAAAGTGTTTGTGTCCTTTGCCTGCTTTTTAATGAGGTTTTTTTGCATGTAATTTAAGTTCCATATGGATTCTGGATATTAGACCTTCACTGAATGCATAGTTTGCAAATATTTTCTCCCATTCTGTAGGTAAGGTTGCCAGTTTACTCTGTTAATAGTTTCTTTTGCTGTGCAGAAGCTCTTTAGTTTAATTAGATGCCATTTGTCAATCTTCGGTTTTGTTGCAATTGCCTTTGGCATCTTTGCCGTGAAATTTTTGCCAAGGCCTATGTGCACAATGGTATTTCCTAGGTTATATTCCAGGGTGTTTATAGTTTAGGTTTTACATTTAAGTCTTCATTCCATCTTGAGTTGATTTTTGCAGATAATGTAAGGAAGGGATCCAGTTTTAATCTTCTGTGTAAGGATAGCCAGTTATTAAATAAAAATGTTGGAGTCTTTTCCCCATTGCTTGTTTTATGTCAACTTAGTTGAAGATCAGATGGTTGTACATGTGTCCCTTTATTTTCTTGACTCTCTATTCTGTTCCATTGGTCTGTGTGTCTGTTTTTGCTCCAGTGCCATGCTATTTTGATTACTGTGGCCTTGAAGTATAGTTTGAAGTCAGGTAATGTGATACCTCCAGCTTTGGTTCTTTTTGCTTAGGATTGCTTTGGCTACTCTGACTCTTCTTCGGTTTCACATGAGTTTTATAATTAGTTTTTTCTAATTCTATGAAGAATGACATTGATAGTTTGATAAGACTAGCATTGAATCTGTACATTGCTTTGGGCAAAATGGCCATTTTAATAACATCGATTCTTCTTATCTACGGACATGGAATGTTTTTCCATTTGTTTGTGTTGCCTCTAAATTCTTTCAGCAGTGCTTTGTAGCTCTCCTTGTAGAGCTCATTCACCTCCCTGGTGAGCTATATTCCTGGGTATTTTATTCTTTTGTGGCTATTATGAATGGGAGTGTGTTCTTGACTTGGCTCTCAGCTTGGACACTGGGGGTGTATAGAAATGCTACCAATTTTTGTACCTTGATTTTTGTATCCTAAAACTTTGACGTTGTTTATCAGATCAAGGATTTTGGGCAGAGATTATGAGATTTTCTAGGTATGGAATCATATCAGCTACAAACAGAGATAGTTTGATGTCTTCTCTTCCAGTTTGGATGCTTTTTATTTCTTTCTCTTGCCTAAAATTTCTGTTTAGCTGCCCAGCCTAAGGTATTTTGTTGTGGTAGCCTGAGAATAATAATACAGTGCCTGGACTCTTTCCTCTTGGTACCTTGGAGCCCTGTGACAACAGCTGCAAACTAAGTTTTACAGCCCTCTAGAGACCAGTTTTATTTATTTTATTTTTTTGGATCTAACTTTTTAATTTTTTAACTGATGTAATAACAAAGTATTTATGGGGTACATAGTGATGTTTTGATACATATACTGATCTGATCACCAATCAGTATAAGTAAAACATATCCATCATGTAAAACATCATTTCTTTGTGTTGCAAACATTCAATATTCTCCTTCTAGCTATTTGAAACTACATAATGTGTACCTACCTATATTCACCCTACAGAGGTACAGAGCACTAGAACTTATCCCTCTTATCTAGCTGTAATTTTGTATCCTTAACGAATCTCTCCCTATCCCTTTCTTCCTTTTTACCATTCAGTTTTCTATAATAACAAAGTAATCCTGACCTGAGCCCCTCCCACAAAGCTACTACATGTGTTCCCAAAGATACTTGGGAAATGCATCCATATCCCATGGCTCCACCTCGGCCTGCTGCCCTAGCTTCCCACCTGTCATGCCTGGTCGACTCTTACCTGCTCTGCCACTTTACTCCAACTCTCTACAATCTGCCCAGTGCCCAGTTGCAAAAACCTTACTCAAACTGCAATTGCAGACCTGTTTCCAAAGTTTAAGGAGCACATAATAGAATTCAATTCATGAGTGGGAAAAGAATCAGGCATCACAGCCCCATGGACCAAATATTTTCACCTGGGATCCTCAATGGCCTGCTTTCCCTTATCCCAGAGGCAGCAGCCAGGTCACTGGAGTTAATTCATAGTCCCCATAAAAAATTTCCATGATCATGTCCTTGTTCCCTGAAGGCAAATCTGTTTGAGATAAAATCTCTACAGAGTTGCTATACTCTCAATGGAGTCACCATCCTTAGGCAGGGGATGCCTCATTACCCATTCCAGACTCAGACTGTAGTTTTATCTTTTGCACAGCCAAATGCATCAAATAATAATTTCCCCCAAGGTGGGAAGCTTTGAGCCCTAAAGGCAATTCAAGCTTCCATCTCTGGCAAAACAAGGAATGTGAAAACCTTGACTATCTCTTCTTTAAAGTTTACAAAAATCCCAAATTTAATATATGAGAAAGGTGCTCCCAGTAGCAAGAGGCAGGTCCTTAACTTCCATCTGCATGACCAAAGGGGCTCACTAAAGGGACCCTCAAAACGAAGAGAACATCTCTCCCAGAGATGGCTTTGTTTTTGTCATAAACTACTAAGGTTTTCAAAATAGCATTTTCCTCTTGTCCCAACTGCAAATGGATGCTATCGTCTAATCAGTTCTCATGTTCTCTTTCCCTTCCATGCCAGGAATGACACATCTTATCACCAATTGCTCCTGCATGCTTTTCTATGAATATCATTAACTGACACTTGGCAGAACTTCACCTTCTGCAGATTGTATTGAAAATGGGCATTTTAGCCCTTTTCACAAGATGGCGCCAAAAGCAAAGAAGGAAGCTCCTGTCCCTCCGAAAGTCGAAGCCAAAGCGAAGGCTTTAAAGGCCAAGAAGGCAGTGTTGAAGGTGTCCACAGCCACAAAAGAAGAAGATCCGCAAACCACCCACTTTCCTGCAGCCCAAGACACTGCGACTCTGAAGACCATCCAAATATCCTCGGAGGAGCGAGAAACGAGAGAAACAAGCTTGACCACTACGCTATCATCAAGGCTCTGCTGACCACTGAGTCTGCCATGAGGAAGATGGAAGACAACAACACACTTGCGTTCACTGTGGATGTTAAAGCCAACAAGCACCAGATCAAACAGGCTGTGAGGAAGCTGTATGACACTGATGTGACCAAGGTCCACGCCCTGATTCGGCCTGATGGAGAGAAGGCATGTGTTCCACTGGCTCCTGATTACGATGCTTTGGATGTTGCCCACGAAACTGGGATCATCTAAACTGAGTCCAGCTGGCTAATTCTAAATACCTGTATATCTTTTCACCATGTGCATCCTTCTCTGTCAGTTTCTGGTTGGGCTAGGAGGCCATACACAGGCACTGGCATTGTCACAGGGCTTGGGCAGGACTCCTCTTCCACTTTTCCTTTTGAAACCCTCACCCTGCCACTCCACCATGCTTGATTACTCCAGAGATCTTTGTCACTAGAGTTAGAGTCCTAGGAAAACCAGAACTCAGAACTTGCCTCCATAGTTGAGGGTAACAAGAAGCTTTTCCAGAAACCCTTCTTTTATCCCTGGAAGAGGCTGTGTGTAAAATCAATGCCCAGAGTTTGAAGTGCATTTGCATCCATTTCAGGGGAGTGTGGGTTGGCTGGCTTTTGGGTAGCATTTTGTCCTCACACACCCATCTACTATGTCCACTGGTCTGTCTGCTTCCCTTACCCCTTGCCCAGTAAAGGACAAGGACTTTAGAGGAAAAAAAGAAATGGGCATTTTAAAATGTGTTTTTAACCACATACCTCTGCCCCAGAGATTCATGTTGGCTGTTTTGGCGTCTGTTCCTTATTGTAACCCAGAAACTAAGAATCACTTATATTAGACTATGAGTTCCTTTGAGGTCGGGACTTTCCCACCTTTCCCTGCTCCTTAAAACTGGGTCTGGGTGAGATCCCTGATGGTACTTAAAAGCTTTCCCTACATATGTGGGCTGCCCATATAATTATTCTCTGAAAGCAGTGGGCTCCTCTTCTAAATACTCTTTTTTTAAATTGTATTTAAGCTTTGGGGTACATGTGCAGGACGTGCAGGTTTGTTACACAGGCAAACGTGTGGCACGGTGGTTTGCTGTACCTATAAATCTATCACCTAGGTATTAAGCCCTGCATACATAAGCTATTTATCCTGATGCTCTTCCTCCCCTCACTCCTCTGACAGGCCTCAGTGTGTGTTGTTCCCTTCCCTGTGTCCATGTGTTCTCATTGTTCACCTCCCACTTACAAGTGAGAACATGAGGTGTTTGGTTTACCAGCTATCTGGACGTTCTTAAACCAGCCAAGTTAACACAAAATTAACCATCACAGTCTACAGAAATATATACTTCACATGGAACACAAGGCTTACAAGGAGAGAAGCAGAAATGTAAACAGTATATGCCGCACAGTGTTCTGGAACAGAGCCCAGCTCATAGGAGGCACTCAGTGAATAATTGCTGCAAATGGAGGAATGAATGAATAAATAAGTGTTACGGTAGATATGGCATACAAAATCCAGTTGGTCCCCAAGAAAGGATACGCTTCATAGTGGAAAGGGAAGTTAGGTTAAATCATAGAAGACAGGTAGGATGTAGTTGGTGGTTAATATTTGGAGAATTTGAAGGAGGTTCTAATTGTAAATGTCTTATTGGAAAACACTTGTACATTACACAAAGCATAAAGAAGAAAATTAAAATCACCAGCAATTTAGGTATATATATGAAATTAAGTGTATGCAGAAGAAGTGACTTAGCAGTGATAGAAATGAAGTGCATAAAAATCAAACAGCACATGTTCGCACTCATAGGTGGGTGTTGAACAGTGAGAACACATGGACACAGGGAGGGGAGCATCACACAGTGGGGTCTGTTGGGGGAGAGCTAGGGGAGGGACAGCGGGGGGTGGGGAGGTTGGGAAGGGATAACATGGGGAGATGATGAGAGGTGATGAGAGGATGGATGCAGCAAACCACATTGCCATGTGTGTACATACACAACAATCCTGCATGATCTGCACATGTACCCTAGAACCCAAAGTACAATTAAAAACAAACAAAAAAAGAATCTTAACAAAAATTTTTTAAAAAAAAATCAATAAGAAAACTGGCCTGCTGGGCCAGACTAGTGGATAAAGAGATGGCATGGGGGTTGTTCCTGGGAAGAATGGGAATTGCTTGCCATACCTTGGTGCCTCAAGTCAAAGATATGTCGTTGAGACTTGAAAAATATCGAAGACCTCACACTGGTTTGCCAGAAGGATGGAGCAATAGGAATATTTCAGGATGATTGGTACCACCCAGCCCTTAATCTTGATAAAGGCAGATCTCCTTCACCCAATCTACTGATTTCAATGTTAATCTCTTCCAGAAATGCCCTCACAGACATACCCAGAAATAATAATTTACCAGCTATCTGGACGTTCTTAAAGCAGCCAAGTTGACACAAAATAACCAACACAGTCGCAGAAATGTATACTTCACATGGAACTGGAGAGTTTGTGTTTGAGCTGGAATGTCCCCTACTATTACCCACGATGTGGTCAAAAGCCCCTGCCAAGTCATCAGGAACTTGCTGGCAAAGGTAGAGGCAGTGGGCATGTGGAAAGAAAGACCCTCGTTCATTTGATTCACTTCTACACATTCATCTGTGCATAGGCATATCTGCTCCTATGTTTGTGTTCAACAAAATGCAAGAAAAATCCTTGAAAAGGGTGTTGCACCAACTGGGGTAGGGGGCAGTTAAATAGAAGCAGTGTTCTGTCCCCGAATTAACAGAGAGGATGGTTAAGCCTCTTGATTGATGACACACAATTCCCCATCAGCTCTCCTCCAGCAAGCACAGTTGCCTAACAGTTTCAGAATCTGGAAAGCAAAAGTATTTTCATCCTGGACATGGAGAAACTGGGAAACAGCAGAGCAAGGCAGAATTTGCACTTCCCTGATATGCTGGATGAAATGATCCTTTATCAGTTTTCTGTTGTGTGTTCCTTCTAGATCCACACACCAGAGACTAGCATGGCTTCAGGTGGATTGTTGATTTCCCCTGTAAAAGCTGCCATTTGGATATCCTTTCTTTGATAATAGTCCAGACACCAGAGCAGTGAAGTGGAGAGGTTCAGGTGGCTCAGCTCTATTGGTGGCTTCCAAGCAAAGAGCTTCACTGATCACACCATTATTTCCCATTAGCTTAAGAATGGTGCCCATTTTTCCCTTGGAAAGCTTTATATAGATAGGTGGCTGCTTCCAAAGGCCCATAAAATGAACAAGAATTCAAAGATATGTTTCCTGTCTTCAGCTAACAGTCACTGACTGCTTCTCTGAATTATTCATTACTGAAATAATGCCATCCGCAAAACCAAACCATCTTTGTTAAGGAAAATTTACCCACAGAAGTTTCAAAAAGTAGAACATGGATCAGGGATCCCATTTCTGCTTTCCTCCTAATTATTTTCCCTTAAAATCCAAATGTCACCATGATTAATTCTACAGAAAAGCAAAATCAGATTGAGTATGTATAGTCACTGATAGATACTTTAATGCTTAAGGGTCAAAATTTGTTATTAAATGTTAAACAGTTTTTCTCAGTTTCAAGAGAATTTTTAGCTATGTTATATTTTTAATCTTCTTCAGGGGAATGCCTTCACCTAAAATACGTGAACAGAATGTTTTAAATGCAGAAAGGTCTTATTCTTGTGTTTCCAGACAGAGTCATTACAAATTTTCACTGGGTTCTGAGGTTGTGCTTGCTGGTTCTCTCTGCCCTCTCTCCATTATGCCCAGGTAGGGCACATACACATGCCCTTATGCATACACACACAAGCACACATGCATATATATACACATACAAACACACAGAGTTAAATTTCTTTGGGCCTTCACCTTTTCTGTCTTCAACTTGGATTAGAATCATGAGGTTAGGAAAAATATGAAAGAGAAAATCTAGCCTATTCCAATTTTTCCCACATTGCAAAGACCTGGACTTACAGAAAAGACTGTCCTTGTAAAAAATCAATGAGGTTGAGGCATAGAAAATAAGGTTACACAAGCTCCCAAACTCACCAGCTGTGTGACCTCAAGCAATTGCTTAACCTCTCTGTGTCTCGGTTTCCTTATCTGTAAGAGGTGGATAATAATAGTCTCCCTCACAGAGTTGTTAGAATTAAATGCAAGAATACAGAAAAAATATTTTTAACAGGGGAAAGGATATAATAGATGGGTGGGTAGACAGATGATACAGAGATAGGGTTTTTTTCTAATGGTTGAGAGAGTAGCACTCCAGCAATCAATCAGCCACTGAATAGATATTGATTTAGTACTGAGAAAAAGCCAAGGTCTGGGCTTGTTGCTATGGATAGGATCATAAACAGTCAAGCCTGGTTCTTATTCTCACAGGGCCCTCAGTCTAGTCATCCCAGAGAGCACGAAGTCTCCTTGTAACTGACACAGTCAAATCATTGGCATCTTGATGTGGACTAAGAAGTCTCTCATATGTGCCACTGGTCCAATTATCTGTGGAAAATAACGCAAGAGTTCCAATTGATGGGAGCATTACAAAATTCTGCCGACTGATCTTAAAAACATTCTGATTGAAGGCATTATATTATAGAATAATTTGTAAACAACCATGCAAAGACAGCTCCAACAGTCATAAAAATAGTAAAGGTTTACCCTCTCCTCTATAGCAGTTTGGCATTAGGATCAAAATCTGATTACAACATACCCAAGATAAATAGTATTCAGTGATATATTACCATCATTCCTACAAATCCAGCACAACGTCAAAGCACTGCAATTTCTAAAATGTAAAAGTACAGGCAGCCTTCACAAGGACTCAGTAAGTTGGGCTTAAACTAACAGGCATCTTTCTGTATTAAATGCTGCTTTCACAAATCCACAAACCCATTCTTACAGGATGTTGCTTTCGGAACAAGGCAGGATTAGTGCAATGGGGGAATCGTGGTCTCCAGCCTAGTATCTAGAAGCTGGCCTCATTTTCAACTGACTGGAATTAGCCACAGAGAGATGCTTGTTTACAACTTATGTTCCTGAAATCTTAGAGACAGAGGCAGCAATGCAGAGATTCCAGAGGGAATCGTTCCTGCCTGTTATAAGAATAATGTCATATTTTTCTGCAAACAAAGCTTCAAGGCACATTTGCATTCTTGTTGCTGAGCAGAAGTGAACAGGCTCAATTTCAGAATGTGGCAAGATCACTTAAAGTGAGAAACCAACCTCTTGGGTCTTTTCATTTGCGTTTGACACACTGAACTAGTCTCCCATTGAGCCAAAAGCACACT